GCTAAAAATGAGATATGCAAGTTGAGATATATTAGGTTGTTAATAAAAGATTTTAGAAACGGTTTAGAAATAAAATTGCAAATGTGAATATAATCTGTATCATTTTTCTGTTTCATTAATAATTTCTAAATTTATTAACAATAATTAAGTTTATATTTTAATCTGATGTTTTTTATAAGATATTTATGGCAACATGGTGCGAGCCAACCAAAACCAACTAGTATGTTAATGAATGATTTTTTTTCTTTTCAAAGAAGAAAGAACAATGAGAGAGAGAAATGTGTATTACTCATCTTACTAAATACATCGTCATTTTGACTGTGACCAGTTTCTAGTTATCGACGAAGTTATTTGGTCATTAGGTTGGCAAATAAAATTTAATTCGGTTTGGCTTGGTTCATGTTTTTTTTGTTTCAGTTTGTTCGGTTCTAAAAAACCTAAAGAGCCGTGGACGATCTTGGATGTCATTTTGGGAACGTATGTGCTTGTATACTTTTTTCATACGGTGGGACATAAGTTGAGAAGTTTTTTACATCATAAAAGTATAAATCCGTGGTGCTTCAGGGTTGTAATTCTCCTAAAGCATATCCAATGGCCGTAAAACGCATACCCTGATCCATTTATGAGGAGGATATGATTAAGAACGAGTTTATTAACCAATTTTACTCTTTTGGAAAATCAAAAAACTTCATGCAAGCTTTTGTATATAGGTTAAACTTGGAATTTTCTTACATGGTTCTTGAACATGGGGTGTGTCATTTTGATAACCTTGTCAAATTCACTATAACAAAAAGATGGAAAACCATCAAACCTACTGAAGATATATGTTTATTGTTTGTATTCTGCAGTTAAGAGAAAATCGAGACATGCTTGAGGGATTTTCTGTTGAAGAACGACTTGATGGGGAAGATTATGAGCAATTTTGCCACAGATGGCATAGGATAGACTAGATGACTTTGAGAGCTGCTGCACTTAAAGTATGTTTTATTTTTCTCATGCACATATTTGTATCCGTAGGTTCAAACTAATTATATCTTTTTATAGTATCGTGTAGTGATAAAGGTGGTTGCATCCACCCAATATTCGGGTTTGCTGACTTATGGAGAAGAATACTTTGCAGTTATGATGCATTCATATTTTGGCATATTTAGTATATATTTTCTTTAGTTTTTGTAGTCATTAGACTTACATTTTTGCATATTTTTCATCATTTTGAGTCTCATTTCATACTTAGGATCATTTTAGAGTCTAGGATACATTTCTTTGCATTTTGTGTATTTTTGGTTCCTTTTTAGGTANTTTGGAGATATTGGAGTGAGTTGGAGACAAAGAAATTAGAAGAATTGATCAAATAGGCAAAAACATGCAGAAAAAGTCCGAATTGGCTCAAACATCATCTCTGTTGAAGGTCTTTCCTTGATCATATTAATCTGAAATTTTGTGAGCGGAAAGGAAATTGAGTTATCTTTCCAATGGAAGTGGTTTCAACTCATTTGGAGCTATATTTAGAAAGTTATGAAAGTTTTAGTGAAGACATGTCCGTCTGGCGAGCAAAAGAAGCAAGTGGAGAATTTAAAAT